CCCTACCCATTCTCTTTTGATTATGTTCTCTTGATATTTCAAATTGTTTTCAAGGTACAGGATTAAAAGGTTAAACATCACATATTTAAATGTACCAGTAGCTGAAAATCAGTACTTGTATCACAGAATCACAGAATCTCAGGGGTTGGAAGGGACCTCTGGAGATCATCTAGTCTAACCCCCCTGCCAAAGCATCAAGTCTGGTTGGTCATCACATGGATCTGCACTTTGTTACGTCTGCAAGAGTTGATCCATTTTATCCTAGAATACAAATTGTGTAATTAGGGCATACGTAGGGAGGAGAATTAACACACTTACTTCATCAATATAAACTGGTTCAGGCTCAGGTTCTATTGTCTCTACTTGAACTTCATCACTGAACTGCACTGTTTTCTTCTCAGTTTTCACTGTAAGATAAATAGACAGATTTAATTTTATAAAATAAAAATAAACAAACCAATTACATAAATGGTATCCAGCTAGCATGTTGCCTAAGTTCTTTGCATGTGAAACATCTACTGTGAAAATTTTAAAAATTAGTATTTTGTTGACTTTTGAAGGCAAATAACATCTGCATAGACTTAAACAATTTTCATAAACAAATCTATAAATTGCATAAAACAGACATCAGTTCACACAAGGTCAATAGAAACATGTTTTAGTAAGTAAATGTCTTTATCATAGTTTCCCTGCACGTAATATACTTATTAATAAGTCATAATAGAGAGTGATTGGAAAAAATAGGGCTAATGAGTCAGGTTTAAGAGAAAACTGGTAAAATCATCTATGATAAATCGGAGCCTTCTTTTCTCCAGAGCAAAGCGTAGAATTGAAAGTTCTCCAGTTCTGCTATTCCTTCTCCATCAAATAGTACCTGTAAGAGCACCTCACTCCTCTGCAGTGGAGACCACAACAAAGAAGTTGCCAAATGCTACTCTTATCAGTTAGTCTTAACACACAACAGGTGACTCCTACTGCATGTAATTCTGCTGATGTGCTCATATCTTCGGCACACTGATATTGAGACTACAGGAAATTCATCTTGGAAACCCATCAGATTTACAGAAATCAGTTCTAGCATCTTAAAACTTTGTCTAATGTTTCATATTTTTAACAAATTTAGAGTAAGTTAGGCTGATATAAATAGATAAAAGAAGATAATGAGTATGCAGAAAAAAGAATTCCTTCCATTATGCACACATACATACCTACAGTACATAGGTTTCTTTAATTGTTTGAACAGTGGTCATCTGTCTCTGATTCTCATTTGGGCAGGGGCCTTCAGTTTTTCCTTGATTAGGTATGTACCATTGCAACTAGGCAAAAAGGCAATTTGGAAAAAACATGCTGTTGCCTACATTTATCCAGGTGTCAATGGAGTTGTCAAATGAGTCTCAAGGAAGCTACTGACAAAGTCAGCAGCAGACAGCATCATATTTTTCAGCAGATGCCAGCTTGGGCAAACTTGGTCTTACACATGATTGTTGTTTTTGAGAGCACAGCAAGGACTTGTCAGTTTTACTTTGAGTATCACAATAACTTGCAACTGAACTGTATCATAAGGGAAAGTACATTACTACAGAAATATCCCTTGGGCTGTGGCAAGGCTTAACATATACACGTAAATGTAGTGTTACTTACTCATTTCTGGCTCAGCAGAAAGATCAGCTGTTACAAAATTAGATGGAAACAATCCTATACCCTGATGAGTTTCACCTTTCCACCAATTTGGATCACTAAAGATAAAAAAATAATTAAAAATCTCATACATTAAAAAACCTATATTCACATGGGATTTTCCTAAGAATTGCACTTCACAAGGCATTTATATTACTTGTGCATAAATACAATTTGTACATATGCAGAAATCTTTATACAAGAACCTCGATGCAATTACATTTGCATGTAAAAAATCTAGGAGATAACTAAATAAAGTATTTAATATGTAAGTATATTTTATTGCAATTGTTTTCCAATGTATACTCCAACATAGAAGATACAATTAGTCTAAATTGCTTTTTACAGTCTAATATACTAATCTAGTAGGCATTCTATTTAAATTACCTGTCATCAAGGATAGTTATAAGTTCTCCAGCTTTAAAAGTTAATTCGTTGTCTTCAGCAGCCTCAAAATCATAGATTGCACGAACCTTTCGTCCCTCATGTTTGTGATGTGTTAAAAGGCTTGAGGTGCTTGGATACAAACTGGAAAGTGTTGTTTGCTGTTGCCTTTGTTCTTTTAGTGACAGTTCAATAGCTACAAAACAAGATTTATTCACGTGAAAATTCCCTATAAAAATGGGTTGAATAATATGAAAATTTAAATCTGTGAAACTTTTAATATAATTCCATTCCTGTTGCATCTTAATCAACTTCTGTCTTTCACTTAGAAATAATGGTAAAAACCAAAAAGATATGGAACACAATTCTGCCTATAGATTTACTGATGCCTTCAACATGGACAGGATGAATAAATAGCACTTAAGCACAAACAGGGTAACTCAGTGAAGTAATCTATTTTTTATTATTATTGTTATTATCTTGACCTGATGTAAAGTACTTACATTCTTACTAGCACACACATGATGTTCAACTTTTCCAGATTGCTCGAAATAGTAAAAAGATACAGCTCTTCAGGTAAACGTTTCTCTGTTAGATCAGAAGTCTTTAGTCTGAATTCACAGACTCAGAGAATTGTACAGAATGGTTAAGGTTGGAAGACATCTCTGGAGGGCATCTTGTCCAATCCCCTGCTAAAGCAGGATGACCTAGAGCTGGCTTTCCAGGACTCTGTCCAGACAGCTTTCGAATATCTCCAAGGATGGAAACTCCACAAGCTCCCTGGGCGACCTGTACTAGTGCTCAGTCACCCTCACAGTGAAAAAGTACCTCCTTAATTCATAATTAGGATAAAGATTTTTGCTTAGACAAGCAAAATTCCATCCATTCCTGTTCTCTCCATATCACTCCTTGAATAATTGTATATTTCTTGATCATTTTCAATTAAACTTGACTGAGCAGAAAGGTTTCACTTATATCAAACTCCTCCAAGTTTGTGAAGAATAAAAAAAATAAAAGATCATGTTTAAGAAGGGACAGAGCAGGACACAAAAAAAAAAAATGGAATAACATTAGAGAACCCACGCAGAATCTGGACCTTTGAGACACAAATCCCTTGAAAACTAGACTTTGACAAGTCAACTGTTGAAGAAACCATTAGTAACATATACAGATGGGCTAATGGCAATTTAAATAAATCAATGTTATAGTGTTAGATAATAGTGAAACAAAAAAATTCTCTACCAAAGATGAGAAACTGCAAACACCCACCAACTACTAGTGCAAGAACTTCACTCATACAGTGTTACAACTTTAAGCCCAAAGCCATGCTACATACAAGGGCTAACATTTGATGTCTTTACATTGCCGAAGTTTGACCTCAAAAAATCATATCTAGACTAAAAAGATCAAACCACTCTAAGAATAATTCTTCACACGTCTGGTACAGGATCATTAAACGACCTTTAAATATACCTTGGTACAACAGTAAATCAAAAGAAACCATCCTAGTTTTGTTTACTGGGACTGCAGTGAGACATTTCACTTATATTCACAGCTATCAAGCCTTAAAGTATACTACAGAAGCAGTATTCAAAGGAATAAAGTCTGAAGTAATAGCAAGTTATACCCAAAATACTGAATCCAACTTTGCATACATTTTGTACTATAATCCTTATTTTCTCCTTCCATCGCATGTTTAGATTGCAATGAACATGCTTCACTTGCCTCAGGGAGAGGGAAAATCCAAGTGCAGAACTTTTATCAAACATTTCCGTAGTGGAGCATGTCTTTAACATGAGATTTTGCAGATTTTTTTACAGTGTTGTTTCAGTTTGACAAGGGAAAAAAAGTAAAAACCAGGAATTTTTCATATTTTTTACTCACAGGATAGTTTTAATCGCTAATCCTCCAGGAAGGGTACAAAAAGAAAGGAACAGAAATAATCACAATCCATAAATATAATATTTACATAGAGGAAGGAAGAAAAACATTTGTTCCTGCTTTATTTTATATTTACCAATATATTACTCAGGTCAGCAAGTAATTGCACTCACCTTTAGCTAAATCCTCCTCTTCCTTTTTGTTGGCTACTGTACCAGGATCTTTGGCAACTAGAGCTGGACTTGCTTTTGCCTGTTCAGCAGCCTAGCCAAAAGTGAAAGATGTAAAAATTAATTCAGAAAAACCCCTGACAATGCATTAAATTCACCATTTTGCTTTGTATTAATCTGCAATACAAAAATCTAAAGAAAATCAGAGCATTTCATGCCTCAAAGGAATGTTTTATTAAGATAAGAAGAAATCTAATTTTATTTCATAGAATTGTTTAGGTTGGAAGGGACCTTAAAGATCATCTAGTTCCAACCCCCCTGCCATGAGCAGGGACACCTCCCACTAGACCAGGTTGCTCAAAGCCTCATCCAGCCTGGCCTTAAACACTTCCAGGGAGGAGGCATCCACAGCTTCTCTGGGTAACCTGTTCCAGTGTCTGACCACCCTCAGAGTGAAGAACTTCTTCCTAATATCTAATCTAAACCTACCCTCTTTCAGCTTAAAGCCATTTGCCAAAGACAAGACAGAATTCAAGACTACAATCCGTAAAATACAGAACTGAAGATACAAAGAATCTGTGATTCGCTTTAACAACACCACAAAATTTAATATACCTGTGAACCGATGGCTGGGAAAGTAACTCCTTGCTCCTTAAGATTTTTTATCATAGCAGATATTAAACTAAGCTGTGGGTCATTCTTGAATTCATCAGTCCATTCCACCATAAGGGCTTTCAGCTTTTCACAAACTTTTGGATGACCCTGCAAGCATAGCAGAAACTAGTTAAATAATGTAGGAATCTGTTCTTAATTCCTTAATTCCAAATAATTTCATGTTACTGTCAATATAAACTATATAGACACTTTATTTTGAAGTCAACTGTATCACTAAGAGACATCTTTATTAGAAAGGAAGAATAGTACACCAGCATTGTGTTTGTATTAGTACAACATGTACTAGGCCCAAAACAGAGTAAAACAAGGTTATGCAAAAGCCTTGTATTATCTCCATTTTGCCACATGTCTATTTAGTGTTTTACTGCTGTTAATTAGTGTGACAATTAATTTGTATACTTATAAATTGACACATCACACCCCACCTTCCCTGAACAGAATATATTAGTAACTGTAGTGAAGTGGCATTCAGAAGTTCTTTCTCACAGCTACAGTCTCGCCACTAATCTTTTATCTTTCCCTCCACCACCAAATTTCCAGTCTTCCAAAAGTAGATTCCATTCCACTTTCAGATTACCCCAATTCTCTGTCTGATTTAGCTTTTCTATGAATTGCATAAATCAATATAATACATTACCTTGTTCAACACATTGCTTACTTCACTGGCAAAATCTCTTGAACAGACTTCTAAATGAAAGATTTTACCACAGTTGGATACGCATGCTCCTAGAAGCTAAAGAAAAGAAGATTAAAACTCAGAGAAGATTTTTTGCAATCTTAACTTCTCAGGAAAGAAAAGCACTACATTAAAAAGAACCTACTGTTAATGCTTGCATTGCAACATGGGGATCTTTATGGTTCACTCTCTTCATAATAGAACGGAGACAGTCTTTAGGCCTAAAAAACATGAGAGAGATTTTTAAGAACTGTAATGGAATGAACATTTCCTCTTGCATGCATGACAATATTAACAAACAGCAAGCTCTCCCAAACACTATCAGTAAATTATTTAGTATCTTATAAGTGCAACATTAATAAAAAATAATTGAACACCATTAACAGTTGAAGCCATTTCTATCTGTAGGGTTGCTAGCTTTCTTACTTACCAAAACCTCTCCACGAGTTACATTACTTTTTGTAGTTAGTGAGAAATACCATAAATACTCCAGAAATGCACAAAATCCCATACACTTAGAGAACTGTAATTCTCCATAGTCCCTGCACCTACTCCTGTATTTCATATACATATCTAAGAACATCTGCTGATTACCAACACCTTTTTGATACTTTTTTTTAATTACCACCACTACATTCCTCAGTCTCTTTTAATCTGAAGAACAACATTTATAAAGAAGATATGCAATGAACCAACAAGTGCTAAAAAAAAAAAAAAATTGTTAGACATTCTACATCGAAGTTTCAAAACAATTAAATAGAGAATTCAAGTCTTACCTATGTTGTGGTATATAGAAATGATGTGAAAAGGACATTTAAGAAAGAATTTGAATGGGAGTTTCAGACGCAGTTTAGCACATTAAAATCTGTGTGACTTCCTGTTATTTTGTTCTGTCTCTAAAGGTGGTGGAAGGCTGAGCAAGGCTGGGGTAGGAACTATCATGGGCGTACAAGCATTATCTGTTGAATAGTCCTGAAA